TGTTACTTCCTGTTCAACCACTGACATTCTGTTCCACCCACCCTGTCTCTGCTACCCAGTTAATCACCAGCACTGTCAGCATCTCCTTCCTCATTTTCTATCATTCAAGACTTATAAAGGATGGTTTTACTCTTTAGACTCTTGGTTTCATCAAATACAGAAAGCCAGAATCCTCCAAGGGGGAAATTGTACAAAGATTAGAACTTATGCCAGTGGGATCCTTAATTGAACTTTGCCAATATCCAATGCCCAGTGGCCTCGGCCAGTATCCAGTGCCTGCAGCCTCGCTCCATGAAAGCATTGGTTGTGATTGCACCAAGTAGACTGCTGCTTATGAAGGGTCCCTTGTCCCTGGAAGGATTGCTCCCTGCTGCAAGAAAACCAGAAGTCAAGGACATTACTAGGCCATTTCCATTCTGGCCACTAATTGGGGCATTTGCTATGATACAGTACAATCTGGCCAGCTGAAGTACCAGATAAAATGTAATGATAATTATTGTAGCTAATCTCATTTCGTATATCTCCCTCAAGCATCAGGTAACTGGCCTACCTCAGAGAGATAAGCTGTTCCAGTAGAAAAAAAGAAAAGCAATGTAGGATGGAGTTTAATCTTTGAGATTTCTTTCAATGAAACCATTACATTTAGGTCCTTGTGCAGAACATCAATTGTGGCAAGTAGAGATTGGGTAGAGGTATCCAGTATAATGCTATGGTTCCATAGAGGCTTCTTGATCAGTGCTGAGGCTGAAGAATGCATGGGAATGCCTAACTGTGAATGGAGTAAGCCAACCTGGATTTTTTATTTCATTACAATCTCTCTACAGGTTCATGTGCCTGGACTTATTCAAAGCTATTAGAATTGTAAAAGTCCTGTGCTGAAGAACCTTTCTATTTCACCTCCCACTAAATTTATTCAAGTATATTACCACATCTACATTTTATAAGGATGTACAAATTCATATAGAAATCTTATTTTATAAAACTGTCAATAATATAAAATGGTTCTGGATCCCTGATACCAAAGGTCCCTAAAGCTATAGTAATTAGTACCCGATGCACATATTAGTTCATCTGCATAGTATGCAAATGATACTATACATATAACCAGGTACTATTTTATGAAGACATGCTTGGAAGTAAGTTTGGCTTTGTAAGCTCTACTGTTCTAGAAACATCTTGGCTGGCCACTGCTCATTATTGTGTGGTCTGTTTTTCTCTTTGATCTTTACTCTAGGTTCTCTGAAAAAAATAAATTGTGTGACATTTAAAAAAATCGGCCCAATAGATTTCATCCTACATGCTCTTGTGCACTCTGCCCAAGTACTGGCTCCTTTTAAAATTTAATGAGTATTTTATTTGAGTATCCCATCTTGCTCTCAAGGAAGGCAATGCCAAGATTCCCAAGGCAGTTGCCAGTGTGCATGTTTGTATAATGCACTTGACAAGAACTTCGAACTTCCTCTCCAGCCTGAGTGGACAAAGTCCTTGTTCCCTCTCTTGGATGTTGAGTTGCTTCTCTTGAGTTCTGGAAGAAAGGAGTAAGAGTGACTCATCATTAGCTTCAGGCCACAGCCTCATAAATTTTCTTCTTTCTTCCTAACTAATCCCCTTCGTTACTAATTATGCTCCAGAACACAAACTGTAATGCCATACAGGCTGGCAGAGCATAGAACAAAGCAGGGTATAAATTAGAGACGCCACTGTCAAAAAGGCTTTCAGGGTTGTAGCATCAAATAGAACTGTTTCCCACTCTGCCTCTGTGGGACTTACTTGGATTGAGTTGGAAATTGAGTAGCATAATCTAATTTTAAGGGAACTTAACACAAATTAAGTGAACATTTCTCTGAGCATAAATTCAGGAATCACATTGCATGCTGGCTTTATTGAAAAATGGCGGAGCTGTAGGCCTTGGAGCAGAGCCAGGAAGAATGTTGCATTCTTTACAGCATGCTGTTCAAAATGGCAGTTCTCTGATAACTGGGAAGTGCCCGTGGGCAAATCCTGTACTGCCATGCCCTGAGCAGGGAGGTGAACTCACTTGACCTCCAGCCAGGATGCTACCATCTCTGCTTGGCTAATGAGGTCACAGGATCAGACAAGTTAAGTGACATTTCCTGGTGTCATATCCAGAGGTGATAAGAGATAGAGATGATTTTGTCTAAAAGCAGGGGGGGGGAGAGAGGTCAAACCCACCTTGTTCTCCATGCTATGACTCAGTACATGAGCAAAATAATAGGGAAAGAAGATTGATTAATCAGTGAATTGACAACTTTGATGTTGGTGCCATGAAACATTTGCCTCCAGCTGTATTTACAGCCTGGGTGCATTCCTGGGTAGAGCTGTTAAGGAAAGATCTCTTAGGAAGTTTTAGGAGTCTGTTGTTTTAGTACTTTTCTGTGATTGTTTTTTCTACTATGGTAGCTCAAAGTTTTCTGTGTGCACATCACATCAATGGGGCATCAATGGGGCTTCAATGCAGCATCAGTGGGACATCAATGGGGCATCAATGCGGCATCAATGGGGCATCAGTGGGACATCAATGGGGCATCAATGGGCCATCAATGGGGCTTCAATGCAGCATCAGTGGGGCATCAGTGGGGCATCAGTGGGGCATCAATGGGGCTTCAATGCAGCATCAGTGGGGCATCAATGCGGCATCAATGGGCCATCAATGGGGCATCAATGCAGCATCAGTGGGACATCAGTGGGGCATCAGTGGGGCATCAATGGGGCATCAATGGGGCTTCAATGCAGCATCAGTGGGGCATCAATGCGGCATCAATGGGCCATCAATGGGGCATCAATGCAGCATCAGTGGGACATCAGTGGGGCATCAGTGGGGCATCAATGGGGCATCAATGGGGCTTCAATGCAGCATCAGTGGGACATCAATGGGGCATCAATGGGCCATCAATGGGGCTTCAATGCAGCATCAGTGGGGCATCAGTGGGGCATCAGTGGGGCATCAATGGGGCTTCAATGCAGCATCAGTGGGGCATCAATGGGGCATCAATGGGCCATCAATGGGGCATCAATGCAGCATCAGTGGGACATCAGTGGGGCATCAGTGGGGCATCAATGGGGCATCAATGGGGCTTCAATGCAGCATCAGTGGGGCATCAATGCGGCATCAATGGGCCATCAATGGGGCATCAATGCAGCATCAGTGGGACATCAGTGGGGCATCAGTGGGGCATCAATGGGGCATCAATGGGGCTTCAATGCAGCATCAGTGGGGCATCAATGGGGCATCAATGCGGCATTAATGGGGCATCAGTGGGACATCAATGGGGCATCAGTGGGACATCAACGGGGATCAATGCGGCATTAATGGGGCATCAGTGGGGTATCAATGGGGCATCAACAGGGCATGCTACGGTTTGAGCTGACAGTGAGTTTAACACTAAGAGTAGCTGACTTTGGGGAGTTTTTGTTTTGCTTTCATTAAGAAAAAGACATTCAACATTGAGTACAACATTAAAAGGAGTGTCATTGGATCCACATCTGGCTGCTCACCAATCACAAGCTTGGTAGACAAAGGTTTGGGACGGAAGGTAGTTTCATTAAGTTGCAGGTGTCCTGGGAAGCTGGGAGGGCTGTGTCTTCAAAGCTTCATTATGGGTAACTTGGGGGCTGGAGGGGTTTCTTGTGGAGGGGGGAAAAAGAGCATGGCAAGGCACAAGAAGGCTGGCAGACCCCAAGGTCTTCCTTGCTAGGAGCACGTGTCTCTCTCTTCTGTTTCTGCTTCTGTCCGTCTGGCTGTCTAGGGCTTATTCCTTAGGCAAACATCACTTTTCTGCAAAGTCAACCTCGCAGCCATTGACTCACTTTGTGTCACTTGAGGGTGTCGATTAGAGAACAAGGACAGTTGGAGCTCCTAGCTCTAATTTGGGACTCTCTGTAGGCAGACCTCTAAGTCTTAGCTAAAAGACTAATCTATAAAGTGGGCCAGAGTGCCATACACTTGTAATCCCAGCACTGGAGCAATGGGAGGTGAAGGGCAGAGGGCTTGCTGGCCAGGGAAGTCTAGACTGCTGGTTTAATTCCAGCCCAATAAGGGATAACTGTCTCAAGACAGGGGAAGGTGATTGAAGACTGGCACTGTAGGTTGTCCTGTGACCTCTACCTGCATGAGCACACACGTATATGTATATGTGCCGAATGCTAGACACATATCTACCTAGTACATGACAGACCACTCAGATTAGAATGATATCCTTAATTTTACTCTTAGGAAACTTTGAAGCAGGTGCTTTTAACACACAAAGCATGTTTCTCTTTTAATCATTGAATTTGACTAGTGGTTCGGTTTTGTATTGCACGGCTATGGTGCCCATCTCTTCATGTCTCCTCCTAACTCTTTTGTGTTTCTGCTGCAATGCTGTGGCTCTGTGCTAGTTGGTCAATGAGCTGCGCGGCTCAGTTTCGGCTTCCTATCCAACTACAGTTGGGAATGCTGGTGTTACAGCCGGGGGCTGCCAGCCCCAGCTTCTGAGATTTTTCATGGGTTTGGGGATCTGAAGTGAGTTTGCCAGGTTGTCAAGCACTTTACCCTCAGCCATCTCTTTGGTATATAATATCCTGCTGGTCTTCAAACTGTGTTGACACTTCAAGCATTGAAAACTTTTATTTTAACCAAGGAGGGTGATTGTTTTTAATTTCACAAAGGAAGTTAAATTAGAAATATAAAATGTTTGTGGCAAATAGTTCTTACCAGGACATAAATAAAGGCAAGTAACTCATTTCCCACTGGGCATACAGGAAGCCTACAGTCTCAGTAGTGAGACCTTTTTTTAAGACTGACCCAGAGTCAAGACTTTTGAGCTATGATGTTTTATCTAACCCACATTGCAACACCTTTTAGTGGATTAATTAGTTTCATTTTCATTATTTTTCTTCCTCAGAAATTAGCACATCCATGAATGCTAGATGCCCGTGAGCTTGCAGATCCCCTAGCAACCTTGAGAAGACTCCGAGTGGTGGTCTTGAAGAATCAGCTCTTGGATCTTGCTGTTGGCCCTGCCCTTTGGCTCTTGGTTCAAGATGGAGACACTCTCTCAGGATTCCCTGCTGGAATGCCAGATCTGTTTTAATTATTACAGCCCACGACGAAGGCCCAAGTTGCTGGATTGCAAGCATACCTGCTGCTCAGTGTGCCTCCAGCAGATGAGGACCAGCCAGAAGGACGTAAGGTGCCCCTGGTGCCGTGGTATCACCAAGTTGCCCCCAGGCTTCTCTGTATCCCAGCTGCCCGATGACCCCGAGGTCCTGGCAGTCATTGCCATACCGCACACTTCCGAGCACACCCCAGTCTTCATCAAACTTCCGAGCAATGGGTGCTACATGCTGCCCCTGCCCATCTCTAAGGAGCGCACGCTGCTGCCAGGAGACATGAGCTGCCGTCTGTTGCCTGGGAGCCAGCAGAAGTCCCTCACCGTGGTGACCATCCCTGCAGAGCAACAGCCGCTGCAGGGTGGAGCTCCCCAAGAGGCCGTGGAGGAGGAGCCTGACAGACGGGGTGTGGTGAAGAGTTCCACGTGGTCTGGCGTGTGCACTGTCATCTTGGTGGCCTGCGTTTTAGTCTTCCTTTTGGGCATCGTGCTACACAATATGTCGTGCATCTCTAAGCGCTTCACTGTGATATCTTGTGGTTGAAGCCTGTCACAGGGATGCCTCTTGTGGGTGCCAACTTAGGGGGTGAGCAGGTGTTGGTGATGGGATCCCTATGTTGAGATGGGGGTGACACTGAGGATTTGGTACAAGCACTGGCCTCCAATTGGCCACTTGATTCACCAGAAGACAAGTGCAGAGGGGGAGATCTCGGCGAGATCTCAGGAGTACTGTTTGGAGATGGGATCAGCCATGAAGATGTATGCATGCTTCCTCATAACTGTGTATCCAGTGGGCTGTAATTTATGATTTTCCAAAATCATTTCCCCGTTAGGCTTTTTCTACTTAGACATGAAACTGTACATGGGTGCAATGAGCTCTCTCAGTATGGTAGGTTAAAACAGATGCTGTTTGCAAGTTGAGTTAAACCTCAAATCCATATTAAAATAAAACACAAAAACTAGTGAAGACACAGAGCTGGGGTGTGTGTGTGTGTGTGTGTGTGTGTGTGTGTGGTGTGTGTGTGTGAGAGAGAGAGAGAGAGAGAGAGAGAGAGAGAGAGAGAGAGAGAGAGCAGCCTGGTCGCCTGGTCTTCACGGCCCTTTTATACATTTTGAGTGGCACCCAGATCAAAATAACTGAAGCATACCTTTTGGTTGTTTGAAGAAAATATTTGAACATGTGTCTCCAGCCTGTTGTGTATTGTCATGTTCCTTCATTTCTCTTCATTTGTGGTTAGAGCTTACTATGTGTTTGTTAAGCTGGAAGCCCAACAGATGATTGATAAACTGGGAAATAATGGCAAATGCCTAATTCCCCAGGAAACCTATATACCAATTTTTCTCAAGCCATCGCACAAAATAAGAAGTAATTTAAAGTGTAAATATTGTGAATTTCTGTGTGTATTTTATGTGTGTAAATTGATTTACCTCAGGTGTTTTGAGTTCTTCCTGAAGAATCCTGGGAGGAAGACTTAGTGGGCATGCATAAGCCACGTTGTCTGAAACTCTGGCCTCCTTGTCAGTGACTGGATCTTCCCCTTCGAGAGTTTCCCACACACCCCCTGTGATACCCACTGGATGCTTTGCTGCGTGAGACCCTGTGTCAGTATGATATGGATGGGGAATGTCAGGAGAACTCATCATTTCCCCCAGTTTGGAGAATTTTGTGTGAAGTTCACAAGTGTTGCTAATTAATGGCACGTCTAGATGGGCATGTCCATAGACAGTCCTTGATGATCATTTTTAAAGATGTTCCTATAAGAGTTAACCTGTTTAGAATTGCAATTTCATCTCATTGGAATCAACAAGAAAATGTTTTATATTTCAAAATGTTTCTACCGACAAAAGCATGGCAATGAAAACTCGTGTTTCCTATATAAGTGGACCAGTTTCTCATGAGTGATCACCTATTTTGAAATGTGAATTTAGGAAGAAATATTAGTTAGGCTGAGAGGATTGGTCCCTATCCCTGGCTGTGTCTACATTGAGAAATAACTGTGAGCTTGGTGGTCCTCTTTGACCTCCTTTTGTGGAACTAGGAAGCTAGTGATATTGTCAAGGAATCCAACCAAATGTACTACTCTTTGTAGTTCTTTTGCATCCCTGAAATGGTAGGAAGGATAGGGAAAGCAATGGAAAGGTAATCAGTGATTGGTGGGTTCTACAAAGCAAAGATTGAAATGGTCCTGTAAGATGGAGGCAGTGTGCTAGCCTTTATCTTTGAGCAGTACAACAGATGTGTACTAAAGTGATAGATTTGCTGTGTGGGGTGGTGGTTGGGGGGAACAAAACAAAAAAAAAATAATTTCGAGAATACAAAGAATAATTGGCAGGAAAATTCAACATCAAATCTGAGCTCTGGCTTTTAAACCTTTCAAATTCGTAAGACCTTTAGGAAAAAAATGTATTTGAGGGCTCAAACTAGAAATTAGGTTAAAATACCATTTTGTCGTGTAAGCTATTGGGCATTATACAACAAATAATCTAGGATTTATTTGGTCTTAATAATTTAGGTATAATATCTGAATACTATCCTCTATTATGTAATGTAATATACTGTTGGGTTAGTGTCAATTTCTCAAACTCCCAGGCTGCTATCATGCATGTCTGACCTAATTTCTATTTCTTGTGGAGCGGATACACACAGACAGAAATGTTGCATTAAGGTTGTTATCTTTCCAGTGGACCATAACCTTGCAATTTTAAGATAGACCATATTTAAATTAATTTGTGAGAGCTGTCTGCATACTTTCTACACAGTAGAAAATTACTGGTCCTGTAGTGCATTGTGTGATAGGGTTCTAGTTGTTTAGGGGGCTACTCTACTTATAGATACTAATGTATGTGTGAATATGATGTCCTGTGTTTTTTATTGCAAAGCTGTATAGTAGAAATGTCCACAGAACTTTTACTTAAAAGCAGTCCATGCTAGAACTGCAATTAAGCAAAATTGATCTGCTCCTGGTAGATTCTTGACTTTCAACCTGACAGTAACAACCCAAGTCAGAGCTTTTGTATGTGTGCTTGACCTAAGAAACACTATTTAAAACTGTTGAAATGGATTCTACCTATAGTTTGCAGATGTGTGTATGTGTGTGTATGTGTGTGAGAGAGGGGGGGAGACAGGGAGAGAGAGGCCTGCCAACTTCTATATAGTCGATGTTTTAGCTTCTTCTGGAATTTACCTACAATACTAAAAATCTATCTACCCCATGTGACACAAGCAATCAGGGCTTAGAGTCACATGACAGTGGCAAGCAGTGAAGTTACAGCCGAGATGAGCCTCCTGTGGCTTCATCTAGAAAAGTTCCTGGTGGAGGGGGATGGGAGTGGTGGGAGTGTGCAGGCTGTAATTCTGTAGCTAGAGGAAAAGACCTGTGTACTGCTGTGCCCTGCTAGTCTTCCCTAGGCATGTCACCTTCTCTGTCAGGGTCTATGAGTATCCTGTGCTATGTCAGTTATTGCCTTAAGATTTTTCTTTTTAAGTAGGTTCCTCTCTGGGAAGAAGAGAAGGAGGGTTGATTTAGGGATGAATATAGACACTGAAAGAAAACTTCCAAACCGAGTGATTGAATATTTAGAAGTGCAAAACACTGGCTAGGACCCTGTCCCCTATATGGCAAGGGCAATGAGTGCTGTGTAAATAGTAACTTATAAGAAGCATGAATTTCCTCTTTATTAATGATCTTGACATAAGCAAGAGAATGCTAACTATGTTAAGTAGAGCCAAGTATGCCACCTCATATGTTGTCTTTAGAAACTTTTCGTGTAGTGACCTGAGAAGTAAATTGTGATGACAAATGCAAATTGGCCCTGAGTTTCAATTTAGGGTATTTTCTTTAGACATGTAATTAAATTTCACCCCCTGTATGGCTCACAGAATGGGCCTGTTGGAGTGTCAGCTGTGTGTTAGTACAGCTCTTGGAATTTTCTAGGTCAGTGCTGTTGGATAGGTGGAAATTGTTTTATAATCTGTGTTGTCCAGTAGAATGGCTACCTGTCACTTGGCTGTTGGACAATTAAGTGGGGATGACTGAAGAAGTGACATTTGTATGGTATTTAATTTTAAGCAACTTAAGATGAAATGTTCCTGTATGGCTTGTGGCTATCACATTGGCCTTAATGGCATCAAGAGGCTCACAAAGTAACAGTAAGGCCAAGAGAGAGCTTGCAGGCTGTAACAGTTTCCCAAAGGAAATGCCTTTCTAAGCTTAAAGGGGGTGGAGGCTGAGGGTGATAATAAAATCTCATCCACTGTCCTTTGGGATTATTATTTAGATATTTTAGAGAAAGGAAACTTAAAGGGAGCTTTATTAAGCCCCTTTCTGGGACCATTAGTTGCATGTGAATCTATTGTCCAGAGCTCACAGCCAGACAATAGCTGTAAAATTTTTGACTTGCAAGCTATGCATGACCCGTGCTGTGAAACTGTGTTTAGGGTCTTGTGGCCAAAAAGAGTCAATGTTACAGAAAATAAAATAAAAGAAAAAAAAAGAGTCTGATGAAATTCCCGTTCACTTCCGATGTCTTTCCTGAGTTCATCACTGAATTCACGAGGTGGGAAATCCGACGTATTTCCTGACTTCATCACTGTGTCTGTGAGGTGGGAAATCTGAGAGCAAGCAGTTTGCGGTGTTTGCATTTGTGCTTGCAGTGAGACAGTTTGTCATTGCATCTGGTGTGGGCATTTGTGGCTGTAACTTTCTGGATGCTAGGCTAAAATGGAGACACTATTTTTAGAGTAAGATGTGACATTGTTTTAGCGTCTCTCTTTTTAAATTAAGTTATCATTAAAAGGTTTGAAACTTTGCACAAAGGCACTTTTACATTTTTCATAGTTTAAAAAGAAAAAAAAAACTACATGGCCCAGTTGAATTTAGAAACTGGAAGGTTATTACAGACGCTCTGTAGAAATGCTTTTAAGTGGTAAAGGGAAGCAGAAAATTCAGCTTGAGATACATTTTTAATGTATATAAAGATGAGGCTGTTGTTGATATTCTGGCATTTATTCATGCTTAGCTTTTGACCTAAAGTACTCAAGTTCCTTCATTTGAAAATCTGTGCTGAATTAAAATTGCTTAGGCTGCCTCTTCATTTCTCTCCCAATGTAATGGAAACCAAGTGTGTTTGCTTTAATGGCACAGAATTGGGTTGAGTTTTCAATTCTGCAGCATTCAGTAGGGAAGACTACTCCTTGGGGTGTCTAACTTGTATCTACATGTTGGCTAAATGGTATTTTCTTAAGTCTTTTGGAAATTGGGAGGGAAAAAGTTTTCGTATGCTATATATAGGTTATACCCACATGACTAAAGGGCCACTTTCCTAGAAGAATGATGCTATGGACCAGGCAGCTTTCTGTAACCACACTAGAAGTTGTCCAACTCACACCCTTTTCATAGATGGCAAAGTTGCTTCTTGATATTTCCACCATACTCAGTAAAACATCACTTGCAACATGATCCTCACTCAGAAACCACACGCAACAATGAGGCATGCAAGTTGATTTCCTCATGGTGTCTATTTGAAGGAGACAGTTGCCGGATTGTTTTCAACCTGAAGCTCTTGAAAAATAAGTGGAAATTCAAGCCATTTTTTCTGATACAATTGACTTGCTACAACACACACACACACACACACACACACACACACACACACACACACACATACTTTAGCTGTAATTGGAGGTAAAATAAAGTAAAAAAGGTTATCAGCATTATTTTTCATTCATGGATCACAAAATACAGAATTTATATGTTAACTTTTAAACAGCTGCTATGATCTCCATATACTGTGTCAAACCAATTACTTTGGGGGAGTCTCTT